CACACCGCCCCGCCTCTGCCGCAGCCGGGCCGAGGCGCTCGCGAAGCGGCGGTGGCGCTCCAGGGCCGGCCGCTTCCTCCCGCCCAGCCCCGCGCCGCTGAGGCGTGTCCCTGTGGCCGCCGCAGGGAGGTGCCGCGCCTGCTCCCTGCCGAGCCCTCCGAAATAGAGCGAGGCGGGGGTTCGGGCGGGGGATTCAGGTATATATCTGCATGCGTGCATATACACACATATGCATACGATTTGCCCCTTTGCTTTTTCCAGCTCTCCCAGGTGCCTTGTCACACACACTCTCACTCTCTCTCTCACTTCAAACTTAATTATCTCAAGGACAAGCCTTTCTTTTTCCTAGAAAAGGAAAGACCTGAGTCGTCAGGTGCTGGGACACTAACATTGTGTATCACTCAAATAATGTTATGTGATTAGAGGTGCTGGTTGTAGCGGCGCTGGTCTAAGGACATAGGCAGACACGGTTCTTTGGGTAAATGTGATTATACATTACAGAATTGTGTGATTACACACTACAGAATTATGAGTATTATAGAAATATCCAAATGTCCTCATACAGATCAAGGCCTCGCCATTATATTTTCTTAGTCTCAATCGTGAGGCAAAAGCAAACCCAAAAAGGTTTTATAGAACACTAGTTGAAGGAATTTATACTTTTAATATTTTATTTTTCAGTCATGTGTGCCAACCTCTCTCTTTGGTGTTCCTTTTTCATCAAAACTCCTATTTCAACTATCAGTCCAAACAGGCAGAAGAGTCTGTAAACATTGCATAATTTGCAAAACAGAAGTAGTAAAGGTTGCATGATAAAACCCTAATTCACATGTAATTATATTGGCATTAATATTACTTTTATTTTTATTATAATCAATAAGTCTCCCATGATATAAGCTCAACTGTATAATTTTAAAAAGTGACAGAAACCTTTAAAATAATAGTAGACCAGAACTTCAGGTGGTATAACTAGATTGAGAGGCATCAATTTAACTAAAACTATGCAATTTACATCAGCTGCAGAATGAGTTCGTCTACAAATGTTAAAGCAAAATATGCTGAGATTATGCATTCCACTGCTTAGTAATTGTTTATGAATTATGAAATAGGCCAGTGATTGATCCGCCCCCTCCCCCCCTGCCAAGCAGGTTAGGCTGGGGAGAGTGACGGGAGGAGGCAAGTCAAGGCCCCTGTGGTGAGGGAGGTGTTCCAGGATCTTTTCTTGGTCGGTCTTACCACAGATCACGAGGAGTCGGGAAGACAGTGAACAGGCTTAGTGATCTTTATTGATAACTGTTAACGTAGCTGCGCAGCAGCTTAAACTCACTCACCATGCCTCGCGCGCCCTAATGGTGCGAGACCAATGGATCTGGCTGGTGAGTTGTCTCAGGGGTTTCAGGTCGCCGGGATCAGGCGGGTCTCTGCGTCCTCCTCCGGTTAGCTACTCCGAAGGCCAAGCTGTGTCTGTAATAATCTGCCGTGAGTCGTTCCGAGTCCGTTAGACGCAGAAGGGACCTTGACGATCAGGCGGGGGCTCCTCTTATAGCTTGGGTGACATGCGGTGATGTGATTGTGTGAGGCACCTTTTGATAGGCCCGTGGCACTGACTGACTGATGCTGGATCCCGCCTTGTAGAAAGTTCTAGCTGCTGTCTATCTTTCACACTCATGGCAGAAAGGCAACTATAGTCTGCCTAGCAACCGTTACATAACTTTGTATAACTTTTCTGATTGGCGAACATGGCCACTTAACAAACATAATGATCACAACATGCCCCCCTGGCCGTGTGAGCCAAGGTGGCTTACAACAGGTACCAAAAACAAACTGAAAACGTGGCAATGTCTGCTAGGTAGGTTACAAATCATAATACCAGCTGTGTTGATAAATTCAATCTACCAGGTTAAGATTACAGGACACTTTGTATCTCCTGGTAGCTGTCAGTTGTTTGAGACTCATAGTGTGTGACCTGCATAGCAGAGGTAATTTGGCGTCGAATACAATGAATGATCAAACCAACACAACAGGATGCTATCAATACAACAATCAAAACTGTAAATAGGAGAGTTAGTAGATTCACTAACCACGGTGAAAGCCGGAGGTTAAATGCAGAATGGAACATGTCAGCTAGCCAATTAAAGGGGGTCTGGACAATTGTACTCGTATCCTCCGCCACCTTTCGGATTTGATGGATGGCTCTAGAAAGGGGTTCTAAGGCGTTATAGATAATGAGACAACAGGTCTCGTCCGGCGCAGTAAGATTAAGTACTGCGCAGAACCCACCCTCCTTGGCCAACATGAAATCCAAGACAAGGCAGTTTTGGAAGGCAACTTTAGAAGTATCCTGCAACTGCCGGTTGAATACTTCCAAAGCGTCTGCTGTACCATTGGCCAGTCTGGCTAGCAATTCTAGGGTTTGCAACTGTTGGATGGCTAATGCCGAGGCGGAGGCTCCAGTAACAAACATGCCATACAGGGTCCATCCAGTGGTAAACTTTCTGCGTTCAGTTTCTGTCATGTTAGACCAGAACTTCGGCTGTCCTATGACACCTGTAATTTGTTCATTGGGGAAATCACACCACGGGTGCTCCGGACGTAGTTGGGAAACGTAAGCGGGGCGGTCCAATGGGTAACACTGAAGAACTCATAGGGGCATAACGTCACCTGGACTAAAATACAACACACATTGAAATGATATGGAAAGTGACTGTACAGAATGGCTTGGGTCGAGTTTCATTTTGTTGACAATAAAACATAGTGTCGTGGGGAGCTGGGATCAATGCTATTGGTGGGGGTTGTCTAGTGTTAAAGAGGGCTAATAACGACTTTAGATCTGGGCTAAAGCGTCTGGTGGTAAGTTTGAATGCAGCGCAATGAGCAGGTGGGCCAAAATGACTTCCCATCGTTATAAATGCTTTGACGGGGAATAAGCGAAGTACCTCAGCATCCTCAAAAGACCTCCTGGCCATGGATGTTTTAAAAGTGCATGGAGTGGCATAACATCCTGGCCAATAACACGGGGTGCCTGGAGTAGAAAATTTAACTCTCACCGTTTGCAAGATGGTCTGAGGAAGTGAGGGAATGGGGAGAGTAATATCATTGGGGTCGGGCACAATGGAGTGTGGTGCCCCCCAAGGTGGCCCGTGGGTGAAATTAAAGCAATCCTGTGGGATACCTTGAACAGTACAATTGATTGGGTATGTGCCATTCCATTCCCACGCGTAGGTGAGAGTTTGAATGGAACAGCTTGTATTGCAGGCTAAGTACCGAATGGTTTCGTTACCGGGGGATGCACGTACAAAACTTAGAAATAAATCTGAGTAATTAACAGGGGTGACAGCTATGCGAAAGGGACTGTCCGCAGCCGAGGTAGGTGTATGCCCACAAACTGAACCTGATGTATGTCCAGTAAGCAGCATCCACTCTCGCGAGGTACGGAGGAACAGGTTGTCTGCGGTGGACGACGGGGATGTAACTAGGGTCCGCTTCGCGTGTCTGGTGATGCCACGGTGTGAAACGCACACCAAAATGATACCTGCTGATAGTGAAAGGTAAATCAGAAAGATTAGCCAAAGCTTTCGCTGGCGTCGAGACAGGCGCACAGCTGCTCTTGGCTCTTTTGACTTTCCCACAAGCCTCTCCCATAACCCTACAAATGACAGGGGTGGAGCCCGCCGGTCTCGTGGCAGTGGCATGGTGGTCTGGCGAAGGAGAGGTTCGGTATCAGCTGTTTTATCTTGTCGACCAGACATCTCGGACTGTCACCTGATCTGTAAAATGATTAAATGTTAATTCAACAAATCACTACGCGGTTTTAACCAATTGAAATGAACTAAATGCTCGCGGTCATCAGATGAATCGACCAGGCGAAGCTTGTAAGTATGGGCTAGGGCTGTAGCTTCGATAATCTCGGCCGGGAACGTGGGTGGATATTTGGTTGGCGTTGGAGTGGGAAAGGCAACCCATACGAGGTCTCCGGGTTTAAAGGTCGGTTGCCATCCTTTTCGAGTTTGGAGGGGACATGTGGTCCAAGGGGTTTTTATCGGTGTTGAGGTTGACTAGGACTTCAGATAGTATGCGATCCCAGCCCTTGAAGTCGGTGCGTTGGAGGGTTAGGAGGAGTTTACGCTTCAGCTCACCTATCGCTCGCTCTATGACGCCGTTCGATTGTGGGTGATACGGCAAGTGCGTGTGCTGTTGGACGTTGTGGGTAGCAAAAAACTGCTGAATGCAGCGACTGTTAAATCGGGGTCCTCCATCGGTCTGAACTTCTGCGGGTGTCTGCCACCGTGAGAACTGCTGCAAGAAGGCTCGGACGCAACGGGGTCCATCTGTCTTGGTCATTGGGATAACACCGATCATACGGGATCCGAAGTCGACGACAACCAGTGCCTTAAGATATTGGCGGGCTCCCGGCAGGGGTCCTGCAAAATTGGCCTGCCAGAAGGCTCCAGGTTGGAACTGGTTGGGGTTGTAAGTGCCTTTCAAAAACTTGTGGGTTTGGGGTTTGATCCAGGCGCATTGTTGACAAGATTTAGTGACGTGTTCCCAGTCTCGAGGACCTGGTAGGCCATGTCGAGCAGGGCGTTTCCATGCGCTAATGCTGCGGTATCGGTGAAGCGTGGTTCGTGTTCCTGAGTGTCCCCACATGTCGTGTAACCACTTGAGGTATTCATCGCTCACGAGTTTTCTGGATGTCGCTGCGTCCGCTGTGTTGGCGATTTGGAGCTCAGTGGTGTGAGGGCTGGTGGACTCCTCTGTTGGCGTTGGGCCTAGAAAGAGGTCTGCATCAACCACTGTGTGGAGTGGGTCTGTATCATGTTGATGAGACCGGGTGTGATGAACTATTGGCGGGTATTGCATGGACTCGATGATGGCGAAGATGTCGTCCCATTCATCTGAGTATTGTTCAGGTTCAGCCGTGCCTGTAAGTGTGCTACAGATCCATTGCGAGTCAAGTACCAAGACAACTGGGGTAAGGTTCTGGTTGTGGACATTGGCGATGTGTAACAATGCCGCTTTGGCTCCTCTTAGCTCCATTTCTTGGGCATTCGTGGGTGTTGGTGCGGTAGGCAATGCTTGGCCGGGGGCGTTAATCCATGTTACGGAGCTCTGACCGCAGAGGGTGCACTTCCAAGCATGCCCCCCTCCAAATTGAGAGGTTCCATTGCTGGCGATGTTGCCGGGAAGGGAAGTGCCGTGTAATACTGGGCGTTGCTCGGGGTTTGGGGTGACTTTTGCGCTGTCATGGTGCATCCAATTTGCCCAAGCGTACTGACCACTTGTGGCTAAGGTATACCATGTTGCCGCTGTTCCATGGAAGTCGCTCGGAGTTTGCTCGGGATCGATGATGGGGAGCAATGTGGCACCGGGAGCGGCAAGTGTTCCACTCCCATGGTGTAGGTTGTGTTCCTGCGCAAGGCAAAGAGTAGCTTGCCTAGGTGACTGTAGCAGTGTTGTTCCTTGTGGAGGGCTCGGTTGAGGAAAATTGCCGGCTTCCCGTCAATAGTGTGGGCTGTGATCCATAAGTGAGTGGGTGTCCACCCAACGGTAAGTTGGAGCGGTGTCGTGGGCCCAAAGGGTGCTAACGAGGTGGTAGTGGCAGAATTGATCAGGGCTTGGATGCGATGATTGTCACGTTGCGTCCACGACTGGTGCTTGGTGACTTTCTTACGTAAATGACTCTGAAGTGCGCTTAAAGCAGGTAAGTGCTCGGGTGCGATATGATGCCGGAACCAACTGATACTCCCCAAAAACTGCTGGGCTTGTTTTGGTGTAGGGGACATATCTGAGCTGATATCCACGGTGGAGTTGGCACTGAAGTGGGCGATGTTACACGGCCTCCCTGTGTGTACTCTGTTCCAAGAAACGTGCACGTGGCAGATGGTTCGAGGTTTGATTTTGGAATGTTGACCTCCCACCCTTCCAGGTGTAAATGGTCAAACTAATCGATTGGCAGTAAGCTTGACGTCTTCGGGGTTACTTCCCAACACTAAGATGTCATCGACGTAGTTGAATACCTGGGTATTGCCTTCATCGTCGGGGTGTTTAATGCGTCGCAATGAGCTGTTCATAGCTTGCGTGGCTAAAGCGGGTGAGTTAGAATACCCTTGAGGGCAAACGTTCCAACGGTAAAGTCGACCTTGTACTCCCATACATAAAATTCCATCTTCATCATTAAGAGGGAGACTAAAGAACATGTTGGATAAATCAATGGTACATGCTGACCAACTTCCACGAGCCATAGTTGCAAGAATGTCGGCTTGAATATCTGGGAGCGTCTTCACTGGTACTAGTTGGATGAGGTCTGATCATCTGTTGGCTTGGCGATAATCTACTACCAAGCGAGCTTCGGTGGGGTTCTTTGGTTTCGGTATTCCCCAGCCTGGGGACACGAAGCGACTATGAAGTACTGGCTCTATTCTTCCTTCGGCAGTGAGGTGATCTAAAAGGGTGATCAGTGATGGAATAAGCTGGGGTTTGGTCCGTAGGGGGACGTATGTCCATGGGGCAGCTGTAGGGTTCTTGAGTCGAGGTATGTATGGGGGTGGTAGTCCCGTCGCAGAGGTGCGAACCGGGAGAACGCTGCAAACCTTGCTTTTCAGGTTCAAGGCACGTATCTCGTGTACTCCTAGGAGTCGTTGGTTACCTAAGACAGCTTTGATGACCATGGGTGGGTCACCGAGACGCACCTTAACCAGCGGGGCTGCGGTAGTGGTGTTGATGCCGGCTACATAAATGATGTGGTTTGTGGGTCGGTTCGGGACGGTGGAGTCAATTACGGTGACTTCTGCTCCGGTATCCAACAAAAAGCACACTGGAGTTCGTTCTCCTGTGGTGGGATGGATGACTGCAACGGTAGCATAAGGACGGGGATCCAGCCATCGAGTGTTGATGGGTAAGCAAGATAGGTTCCTCAATTCAGTTCGTTGGCGGACATCTTCCTTTTCACGGCCGGCGTCCGCCCCTACTTGTTTTTGGCTTTTGTGGGAACTGGAATCCCAGTTGGATGGCAAGTTGTTTCTGGGTGTCATCATCTAAATTCCTGAGGACCTCCTTTTTCATACCTGCATGATTTAATAGGAACCCGAAACAGGCACGCTCCTCAGGTGTACGCTCAGGGTAACGACGTGAGGTTCCTTGCACAGAGTTCGGTGCTTGGCGTTGCTCCCTGCGATGTGCAGGAGTCGCGACTGGGGCAACTTCTATCACGCACGCTGGTTCTGGTTTTCCACGCCATTGTTGTTGACGTCGCCGATGCTGAAAGCGGTACAGTGACGAGAGGGGTTGATTGTGAAGAGAGCTAGTTTGGAGCTCTGCTATCTCTGGGTTATCAGTGTAAATATCGATTGTAGCTTGAAGGATCGCTGGAGGGATGTCGAGTTGAAGAGGATCCTTACAATGTCTCTGTGACCACGGGTCATGATGCACAACTGGTGTCTGTAAAGAGCGCGGGATTTCTGGACCGCCATCATCGCTGACTCCAGTGAAAGTGTTAAGAAGTCGTCGAGGAAAGGATGGTCCTCCACTGTGGGTGGGTGTTGTCATCGAGTCAGCGAGTTCATCGGGACTCTCAGTGCTGTCGCTCGAGTGTGCTGGTGTTGTGAGAGAGGTGCGTGGGGTTGCGATCTGCTGCTTGGGTATGGAGAGATAAACGGCTCCTGCAAGGGCATTAACGAATGGCTGCGAATGTGGGGCGTGAATAGGTTGAGCTCCCTCGTGCACTTGGTGTGGCTTCTCATGTACTGCACCGGCAACCAAGGCTAAGAGGGAGACAGGCCACAGCGT